GAGAGAGAGAGAGAGAGAGCTCTGTTTTCCAGCCTGAGTCTATTTAATTTATTGTTTTGGTTGTGTGTGATTTAATAAATGTTTTACAATTTAATGTATTTGTTTATTTATTATATATAATTTATATATTTTAATATTATTTCACATTTCATTTGCAATGTTGAATGTTCAATAAAAAAGCTCTGTTTGAAAGGATGTACTTGAATTATTAATATATATTATTATGTCCGCGGTCTAAAATGGTCTTACAACGGTGCAATATTACACTACAATATTATCGTTTATCGCAATCATTTCCGGGAAAATGTATCGTCCAACAAAAGTAATTATCGTGACAGGCCTAGGAACAGGTAAACCATATCATATACTTTGGTAATGCAAAGCTTTGAGTGTGTACATAAAAGAACTGTCAAATATTTCTCTCTAGAAAAAACTGTTATCCAACTAATCGAAAACACCAGAACAGTAAAGAAGAAGAATCAAATAGGTTTAAAGATGATAACTTGAAAAACTGTAAATGGAAGGATCTTGTCAATGAAAATATGGAATAGAAAAAATAACCATGATGAGAAATCAAGTTCATGCTTTATACAATAGATGGGGGAAAACGTGTGATGTATACAAAACTAATGACCTCCCAGTTGGATATTACAACTAATAATGTATCCTTGACAGTTCTTACACACACACAATTTACCTTTTTCTGATTTGTCAATTGTTATTGTCAGTTTTTTGTGTATACTGTGTAAGATAAAAAAAAGGTGCCATACCTCGCACTCAGACTTGCTGGCGGGCCCCTTGGTGCCTCTGATCTTGTCCTCCAGGCTGAGCTCGTGGATGTAGGTGTATCCACTCGGCGGGGGGAAGTACGGCTCTGCCTTCTGTCCGAAGTTGAACTCCACAGCACAGTTCTTCACGAGGACGTGAGGAAACAGGGCACGACCTTCCAGCGCCTCCTTGGTTGTCCGGAAAGCCACTCCTAGGGAGACTCCGTTCTTGGAATAGCTCATCTCCACCTCATCAGCACTGTCAAAGTCCTGAAATAGCAAATTAATCAGAAATCCCTCATCTGTCCCACAGCAGCGAAAAACACATAGATAAGAGTAGATTCTTGAATAACGAGGGCACACATTAATAACATAATAAAATCAAATAAGTACCCATCAAGATGAAAGTTATTTACTACATTGCAATACATCTGTACCATGAAAGGTGATTGAAAGTATCCTCATTACATATCATTTAGAGGACACCTTTATCCAAAGGGACTTTCAATAAGTGCAGAAAACCATAAAGATTCAAACTCCGAACAACGAGGAAAGCGTAGATATTTTCACTTCAAGTAAGATCATACGATTGTAAGTGCTTGTAAATTAGTTACAAGGCCTAAATTAACTCAAAAAGTGCTTTATGCTTCTTTTTTGTCTTATATGTTTGAATTAAAATAAGATCATTACTTACAATGTAACAGCCGATGACGTCGTTTTCCCCAAACTTCTCGCCAAAGTCTTCAAACTTACAGTCTGCAGACTTCTTTCCTGTTCCTCCGTATCCGAAGGAAAAGGGCTCCTCACCTTCAAAATCAGGAATAAAATATTTAGTTTATATTATATGTCATGATATGTCAACCTACTTTTGAGTGTTTGGGCAGTTCCTCCTCGTCTTACCGAGCTGAGTGCTGCAGTGGTTGAGAGACCATCCGATTCTGACCACGTGGGGGTCCGGCTCGCTGCTGGGCAGGTGCTTTACAGGAATCTCCTCATTGATCTAAAGAGCGGAACATGGATCAGGTTAAAATACCTAGAGAGGACTGTCTGGAAATATAGAACAGCAACAAGTCATCACATTCGTAGTGAGTTGATGAATAATGACGGTTTTGGTTGTAAAATCTCCTAAATTACATTAAATAACATTGCTTGGCTTAAGGTTAGGCAGTATAGAGCTTTTAAAATCTATATTGTCAAACAAACAAAAAGAACAAAAAAGACAAAAAGAAAGAGCTGTTCATCTGATGTTTCAGAAGTAATGAATACAAATGTGACCTGCTCCATAGAAATCAGTCGAAGACACATTTTGAGTTTTATACACTAGAGATGTCCCGATCCGATCACGTGATCGGGAATCGGAGCAGATCACGTGATTTTCAAAAGATCGGAATCGGGAGGAAAAAAATCGGGGATCGGGATTTATTTATTATTTTTTTATAAATACTTTTTTTTAAATTTTCTATTCAATGTTACAAAACAAAAATGACCATGTTCAAGTCTTAAAGTCATCCTGAGGCCTTAGTTTTGGTTTCAAATGACAGAACATCATGTATGTGTTGCTTCTTTGGGGCTTGTTTTCATAGACCTGGTTGCTTATTTCTCTCAAATCTGGCAACAGAGTGGGCAGGGCGCAGTGTCTAATTGTAGCAGTAAGCTAACGAGTACTGAAAGCTTTATTTTGTTTTGATCCAATGCTGAAAGAAAGAAGCTATATCCATGTTGGATAGAATATCCAATTTAAATAAGAAAAAATAACCTTAAGGGACAACTTGAATGCTTTTTTTTCTCTTAAGGCGAGACACGGCAGGCAAAAACATCGTTTTTCAAGCACTGGTCAATTTTGAGATTTTGTGCTATTTTGATTCTATAACATGTTTTATTTCAGGCTTTTGGAAGGAAAACGTAC